GGGCTGCGCGCCGACAGCATTTCTACTTTCTGACTTCCCAGCACAGGGAGCGGCAAGCTGACACACAAGCTTCCAGACTGCTTCTTTGATGGTTCAAAAACAAAGACTGCTAGATCTAAGACCAGATTCCTATTTCAAAACCGGAGGATTCAGTTATTTAATCAACTGAATACAAGTCGAAACTTCACTTAGTCAAAAAACTGGTCCCTGAGTGACCTTTGGGTAGCTAACATTCCATCAATAAATATCAAAGTCGCTGAAAATAAGACAGAATTGAATCCTATGTCCACAAATGGCTCCTCTCTGAGGCCCCTGACACAGACCTCTCCCCCTCTCTCTGCACCATTACAGTAAACACCCATCCACATATACAGAAGTCTTTTAGTCTACTTATTAATCAACATAAAGAACCATTAAGTACAGCTTACTTAACTTAAAAAATCCTAGCAGTCTAAGTTTCTTGCAGCAAATGACTTACATGAACAAGGGTAATTACAGAGATACTTATAAATGAGATGAACACTGATTTAAAAATACAATGTCAATAAAAGTTCCTAGTTTTAAGTAGCTGCATAACAACATCAAACAAAACTTTAAAATGTTCTGGAGGGAAAAAAAACTGCTCTCAGCAGTTCCTCCTGGCCAGGTCTGCTCTGCTTCCCCTGGGACCCTCAGGCCCCTGTGAGGTGGAAATATTCTTTACTTGCCCGACTTTTCCGTCGTGGGGACCAGGCTCAGCAACAGTGCTAACTTTACAATCATGCATCAGTTATCCAAGGGGCATCACCCCAGATAACTTTTTAATCAAAGTCCTCCCTCTTTAGCCATTAAAAAGAACTTTTAAAATTTCATCTCAACTAGACCCTATGACACTGTTAAATATTACTGAACAGGAAAGCACAGACCCTTTATTGTTTGAAAGTTCTAGCTTAAAACCACCTTGACAAGATGGCAAGAACTGAACAAGCATGCTTTATCTGGATCTAGAAAGAAATTGCTGGAACAAAACACCTCCTGATGCTCAGTTGACTTTACCAGGCTTCTCTGTCAGCAGCAAGAGCCCTAGAAATGCTCAATGTCATTGAGACTATGTGCTGTGACATAAACCTTAACGAGGTTTCATTCGCACACTCTGAGATGGGCGACGGTTGGTGCGTGCAGAGCTCACCTCTCAGGAGAAAACCAGGAAGGGGAGCAGAGGCTGGTTCACACGATGAACACAGACAGGAAACAACCACAGCCACCTGGAAAGAGGCATGGGCGCCAACAGGCACACCTTTACACCAAGCAGAACATAAACACGGCACCAACAACTAACACGTCAGATTATTCCCTAAGTGAAAACGGTCCCTTACATGTCAACCTTTAATATCAGCTAGGGGACTGTGCACAGTCACACACAGCAGCAGCATCTCATAACCGTGCATGTGCAGGAGGCCAGCGTTCTCCAAGTGTGACGTCAGTACATCAAACCCCCGAGTTGACAGACGTTACTGCTGAAGACTTAAGTGTAAAAACTAGAGCAAGTATATTAAAAAAAAATACATCTAGAAAACAAAAAAGATAGGTGTATATGACTAAAAAACCCCAAAACAAAGCACTTGATTCCCTGAGGTTAGAAAGCGCTTAAAAGAAAACATGCTAAGCATCTAACTTTTCGTTTCATTCATTCAACACGTATTAACTGAGCAAGGCACCGTCCAAAGGCTGAAGACCCACCGTGGGGAAGACAATGCCCCCGCACCCAGGATGCGCATTCTAGGAGAGAGACAACACGCAGTGTGGGACAGGGAGGGTCTTCACCGAGACCCAGCCTACCGACACGTGTGCTACAAAGAGCAGGAAGCCGCAGGGCAAGGGTTGAAGGACTCAGTCACCCACTGCCCTGTAGCCTCAAGTCTACATCATCTTGCAGGCTCAACAACAAAACCCATCTGATTACAATCTGTGTCTTTTAGTTCAAGTACGGAGGTAGAGAGTAGGGGGAGGACGGGCGGCAGAGGGGTTGAGAATGAGAGACATGGACCTGAGTGATGGCCACTTTGGGCTTCTCATGCCTCTGAATCCACAGGCAGAGAAGGAGTTACCATATTGGCTGGTGTGACTGATCCTGACTACCAAGAGGAAACTGGACTGTTATTACATAAGGGAGGTAAAGAATAATATGTCTGGAATCCCGGGGATCCCTTAGGCCGTCTCTTAGTACCACCATGCCTGGTGATTAAAGTCCATGGAAAACTACAGCAACCCAATTCAGACAGGACTACTAATGACCCGGACACTTTAGGGATGAAGGTTTCTGGATTATCCCACCAGGCAAAGAACCACGGTGGGGTGCTTGCTGAGGGCAAAGAAAATGTGGAGTGGGTAGTGGAAGAAGGTAGACGTAAAGACCAGCTATGAACACATGACCTGTTGCAGAAATGAGGACTGTAACTGTTAGGAGTATTTCTTTCTTGTTTTGATATATGTTCGTGTGTGTGTGTATTCATACGCATACGTACACACCCACTACTGCCAACTCAATTCTGACTCGTAGTGATCCTATAGGACTGTGTAGAACTGCCACATAGGGTTTCCAAGATTGTAATCTTTACGGAAGCCAACTGCCACATCTTTCTCCCGCAGAGTGGCTGGTGGGTTTGAACTGCCAACCTTTTGGTCGGCAGCCAAGCACTTAACCACTGCACCATCAGGGCTCTTTATGTATACAGTCACGCACCATATAATGTCCATTCAGGCATATACGTCCATGGCCCCATAAGGTTATACAGGTAGTCTCTGGATTACAAATGAGTTCTGTCCCTAAGTCTGCCTTTAAGTTGAATTTGTACATAAGTCAGAAAGGTTAGGTACGGTTCGTATTTACTAATACTTTACAAAGTAAACTTTAAATAGTATAATTAAAGCAACAACAACATTGTGACCTGTAATAAACCCAGACCACAGCAAATGCATTTATCATAGGTGGCTACATGGCAGAAGTTCTTCTGAACATATGACTGGAAGAGATGTAGAGCCCAATGAAATTCCCAGACCTGTAACCTGTTTCTACCAGGTGAGTCATTTGTCAGAGATCACCAACACTCTGCAGGTTCAAAGGCTGCCTTGTCTCACACAGTCTTCTCTGCAAATGCTGTGTCTGCTTTCACAACACAAGAGGTGACTGTTGGAAGTTGGACAGACGGGTCCTACTAGTTTCAATTACCACTGCCCTGATGAAATGATATTTTATTTCCTCCTCAAATAAGACCTTAAAAAAAAGCATTCAAGGTCCCTTGAGTTCTAACCCTATAAATCTAAACACTGGTCACTCACTATCAAATAACACTCATTTCCACGCACAGATACATGCGCAAGCACACACACGCACACTCACACAAACACGTGCATGCATACTCTCACACACACGCATGCATACACACACATGCATACACACCCCCCCGCCCCGAACCTGACAGAAGGCAGGTGTGCCCTGAGCTCCACACCAGAAGATGCCTCCAGACGGCTCCCTCTAGCCCTGATGCTGGCCTCCCTGCAGCACCAGGGCCAGAGCACAAGACAGCTTTCCTTTAGGTGTCTTCACAGTATTGCCCACAGCTCCACAATCTTTCCTTTTCTGTGCGCCATCCTAACTTCTCAACAGAAATCCCCAAGAATAAATAAACTTCCTGCAACAGTGAAGTTCCTTCTCTTGTCCTTACTTTCACAGAATTAAGTAGAGAGCAGAAGAAGCTTCTAAAGGTGCTACTTTAAACTAACATGAAAATATTAGAAAAAGAGAATGTACTCATGCATTACATGTGAAAATAAGTAATTTTTTAAAAGAACGTTCATTCTAATACCGTTAAGCAAAACAGAAAAATATGTTCCAATGTATCACAGGGTCTAAGAAAGTAAACCAAAAAAATACCAAATTCATTGCCTTCGAGTTGATTCTGACTCACAGCGATCCTACAGGACAGAGTAGAATTGCCCCATAGTGTTTCCAAGGAGCGGCTGGTGGATTTGAACTGCCGACCTTTTGGTTAGCAGCCAAACGCATAATCACTGCACCACCAGGGCTCCAGAAAGTAAACAGTGTTACTTAAATGGCTATATATACACAAACAAAACCCAAACCCGTTGCCTTCGAGTCAATCCTGACTCATACCGACCCTAAAGGACAGAGTAGAACTGTCCCATAGAGTTTCCAAGGAGTGCCTGGTGGATTTGAACTGCCGACCTTTTGGTAAGCAGCCATAGCACTTAACCACTATGCCAGTAGGGGTTCCATATATATATATAATTTTTTTGCCAACATTATCAGCACAATCTATTATTAGAGAATTTTCAAAAGAAAGATTGTATTACTGCTGGCCTTGAAAATGAATTATACGTTCACAGTGCACAAGACGCCCTTCATGCCAGACTTTTCTGCTGTTTGCTTAATTCTCATGCCCTGAGGGAGGCCTACGATCACGACCGTGTACAGACCAGGAAGCTGACACACACAGAGGCTACCAGATGTCCCAGCCACCTAGGTGGAGAGCGGCTAAGCCAGAAAGAACTGCCCACAGACAACCTGGCCACAGCATCTGTGCCCTTCAGCACAACTCAAGTCACCTCTAGAAAGAGATGAAGAATGGAAGTACCGAAACTGTATCTGAATTTTAAAAACAGAAAACTTACCACTTTCTAATCCAAAAGGAGAAACCTGACGTCACTGTTTCCAGGGATTTATTATGTGTTACCAGAGTTACACTTAGTCAACCTGATAAATTTGCAAAGTCTAACTAGCAAAATGGAATTTCATACAGAATATTGATCTTTAGAAGATATGCTTCCAAAACATTTGAAGTTCTTAGACATACCTATTATTTTACATTCGTTAGCCCTAAAATGACTGTAATCCAAGTCTTTTCCATAATAACAGAAGAACAATACAAATAAGGATTTAAATTCTCTAAAAACGTTAATGCCTGGTGCACACAGTTTAGAATTCACCCGAATCTTCTCACCTCGACATCGAATGCCTCCACGGTGCTGTCCAGCAGCTTCACCCTGATGTGAAGGTGCTTCTCCTGAGCTCGGGCCGGGGCCTGCGCCATTGTCGCCAACAGGCCCTGCCCAGGCTCCAGTGTGCTCACCCCCGCAGGGTTCTGGGCTCCCAGGCGTGTCCCTGGGGTCTGCAGGACTCTGTACGTTCCTTCAATCTCCCCCATGCTCCACCAGCTAAAAGTGAAGACAGACCAAAGAATCATTACCAGTAATTTAGGTAAAAAGACAATGTTAAAAAATGTTTGCAACTTGTGGTTACTCTTAAATTACATTAAAGCAAAGTTAAAAAAGATTATCTTCTTCTCTGCGGAGCATAAAATGATCACCACCCCACCACCAATAGGAACAATATCAGTGCTTCTATGAGCCAGGCAAGCGTAGACTCATTTAACCCATAAACCCTCACTGATGAGCAACTCATGGATGCGTTACTGCAGCTAATATCCCTAAGTTGCTGCCCCCACCCACTGAGCAGAGGGTAAAGGCAGCAAGTAGCCATCTCTCCTCTCCTGGGCTGCCCAGAGGCTCCTGTCTATATGCCTCCACCTCTGTCATCTGACTCTCCATCGGCCCAAAACAGTCCCTGTCCTGACAATGCTTTCTAAGGGCTGCCCCTGAAGGGAAACTGAATCCCACTGTGCCGATTCACAAACTGTCAGGCAGCTAGAGGCCTGCTGGAAGCACTTGGGGACCCTCCCTCACCTCTTCTGACTCAAGCAGGGAGGAAGGCTACTGAGGGAGGAAGAAAACGCAGGGAAGTCAGTGAGGACCGTCACGCTTGCCTTTCTTGCCAGCTTTCCACTCTTTGGTCTTTCTAATTCAGTGTCTCACTGGGGTGACGTGGGTATCACTGTGGGCTGGGAGGTAACTTCAGACACCACACTGGACAACAGTTTGGGTGACGGCCATGAGGACTACAAGCATTTGGTATCAGCAAGCACTTTCTACATACTGGGCCACCCGTAGTGCCTGCCATAAGCCATCATCACAATAACCTGTTATCATTACCACCATTTCACAGATAATGACACGGAGGATCTAAGAGGGCCAAATTACTGGCCTAGGTCTAAGGGCCGGAGTAACAGGGCTAATCTCTGCTGGTTTTAACAAAGAAAGACAAGCTAGGTATCAGCTAGAATTAAGTAATACTGGCTTATTTTTGTATTGTCTTTACTAACGTTGTTGTTAGGTGTCCTCCAGCCGGTTCCGACTCGTAGCGACCCCAGGTACAACAGAATGAAACACTTTCCGGTCCTGCGCCATCCTCACAATCGTTGTTATGCTTGAGCCCACTGTTGCTGCCACTGTGTCGATCCATCTCATTGAGGGTCTTCCTCTTTTTTGCTGCCCTCTACTCTACCAAACATGATGTTCTTCTTTAGGAACTGGTCCCTCCTGATAACATGTCCAAAGTATATGAGATGTAGTCTTGCCATTCTTACTTCTAAGGAGCACTCTGGCTGTACTTCTTTAAAGAAAGATTTGTTCATGGCATATTCCATATTCTTTGCCAACACCATAATTCAAAGGCATCAATTCTTCAGTCTTCCTTATTCATTTACTAACATAGGTGCCTTCTATTTGTAGCAAGTTTTTGTTCTTAAATGTATGTACTTATGTTTGAAAGGCAGTTTAAACAAAAATCTGTAACAGTATCCAGACAGTGCTGACGATCCTGTACTGACCTGGCAGACACAGCACAAGAGGTGGGACACCGTATCGGATGTCTAATCAGTAAGAATGCTGCTGTTGCTGCAAAGTGATTTTGTCTCACTGGTTCACCTTCAGAAAGTCTCCCCTTAATTTGCAGTAATCTTGTAGAGAGAGAATTGTTGTTGTTAGGTGCCGTCAAGTCGGTTCTGACTCATACAGACCCTCTGTACAACAGAACAAAACACTGCCCGGTCCTGCACCATCTTCACAATCGTTGTTATGCTTGAGCCCATTGTTGCAAACATTGTGTCAACAGAGAGAGAATTAATCTCCCTAAATTTCTATCCCATTCCCTTGTGTGCCAGCTTGACTGCTCCTCATCTCCTGGCCCTTTCCTCTTTTTCATGCTTATATTGCTATTATGACAAATCAACCCACAAATCTTTTATCTCCTGAGTTAGGTTCTAAAAGCTTCTCAATGACCCACTGCCAAGCAACTCCTACCACATACTTCCACCTTCCCTAAGGACTGTAACCTCTCCAAACACACCAGGGTGCGCATTTCCACGCATGGCCAGTGTGTCACATAAGCAAGCAGAAAAGGAGAAAGCTAAAGCCTCTCAGAAAAGTAAAACGTGAGCAGTGGAGTGAAACGATGAAGCAGCATGTCTTTTTGTCAAGTCTATCTCCTGTCCCCATCCCTGTGCTAAGCCATTTCAAACTCCCCTGACCACACATCTGACCAGCTCCCCTCACTGACCACACATCTCCAACCTGAACCACAGGAGCAGTCCAGGTTACTGCGGTTCAGGTTAGCAGTCTTGTTACCTGTCATCTTCAGAGTGCCCCCTTCAGCCAGGCTGTGTGCCCCCGGACGGTAGGAAGTAAATGACTACTGTAAATGTTCGCTAAGTATTTCCTTAATTAATGTCACTGGCATCAAAGAACACCAGCTGTCTCATTATGCCATGTATTGTAAGACTATAACAACAAAAGACAAAAACGATGGTCACAAAACGCTTCAGAAAATTACCATTTTCATGCCACTGATATTAAACATGAGCTACATGAGGGTCCTGAGGCCGATAAATATGAGCTTTCTCATTCTAACTACACAAAACTTTATTGAGTAGTGAAAACAAAAGTGAGGGAATACAAATGAAGGTTCCTCCTCCTCCCGCCCCATGGTACCACCGATGTGAAAATGGATTAAAGACAAATAAACGCTCTGTAAGGTCACAGTCAGTCACAACATTTACCAAACACTGACAACCAAGAGCGGGTTCTTCGCAAATGAGGCACAGGAATGGAATGAATGCTCCCTTTAAGTAAGGCTACCATCCCTAAAACATACATACCACCACTCTTGAAACCCAAAATGTACTTTTAGAAAAGTCACATCTCTTATTATATTCTGCTGGATAATTCCCACTTACCCTTTTTCTTAATTTTAGATAGAAACATTTCTTCAGGTTCTTTTCCTTCTACCCATGATAAGTCATGTCTAAAAGCATACTATTAAAAAATGGGCAAGATTGACCTATAGTGCCAATAGGTGCACCTCTGGGTGACACGCACAGAAGCTGATACTGTGAGAGTCAGGGTAATGGTCACTCTTGATGGGAGGGAGGGCCCAGGGGTGGCCAGCACAATTCTTTTTCTTGACCTGGACAGTGCTCCCTTTAGACTTCAAGAAGTTACACATTTGATTCATGCAGTTTCTCTATATCTGTGCATGTTTTACAATAAGAACGTATTTAAAACAGCAAACTTTTTACTTAACATTGTTTCAACTCTCCACCAGTGTGGAGGCCGAGATGAGAAAAAAAAAGACCTATCAGAGAAGGGAAGAACACCCATCTTGGTTCAAGGAAACCAGAATTCTCTTCTGGAATATGTGGTACACGAGCGGGCACTTTTAAAGGCTTCATACCTTCTAAGCAGCAAACTCATACCCCTAGTCATCATCGCTCCATCAGGATGAAGACATTATATGGTGTGAGCTGAGACTCAGGGCCACAACCCACACAGTACAATAGTTTCTCTTTACGTATGGCCTTTCTGGCCTTGGCTTCTAATTCAGCCAAAAATAATTGGTTGGGCCACAGCCTGCCTTGTGATTGGTCTATTTTATGCACCTTGCAAGGATTGAGCATTTACTATATAAATAGGGTGCATAAAACCACCCAATAAGGATTAAGTGACTTTGGGGAGATTGGTTGATTTGTGGCCTGCTGAGAGGGCCATGCCTTGAAATTGATAAGGCTGTCAACCCTACAGAGGTAGAGAGAAGCAGTGGGAGAGGGAACCTCCTAAAAGCTGTAACATGGATCAAGAGCCGTAACACTGAAGGTGGTGTGAGACGGCAGCAGCAGCATGAGGTGCCTCCAGGCACTCGTTAGCTGAGCCAAAAAAGTGGTAACACTTGCCTGAGCAAGGCAGAGGCCTGGGAAGGCCCAACAGCAGAAGCCAGGCCCAGTGAGGCCCAGCAAGGCCTAACGGCTGAGAGAAGGGCCGCTGGCAGGCATGGCTGAGAAGGAGCTGAGAACAGCTGTCCTAGTTGAAAGCTGTCCTGATGACGAAGTTGATCCTGTCTCCTGAGTTGTATCCTGCTATTTCCAAGTTGATCCTGATCCTGAGTTGTAGTCCGTTACTTCCCTAATAAACTACGTAAGTGTGAGTATGGTCTGTGAGTTCTGTGTGGCCACCGCAACAAATTATCAAACCCAGCAGAGTAGTAGAGAGTGCCACGAAGGGGGCGGTGAGGATGGCTAGTGTCAGAAACGGTGAAGAAATTTGGAGAGTGGACGTATGTTTGACCTCCACGTCACAGGAACCAGCGTTGTGCTGATCTTGACTCTTATCGCTCATTGGTATAGATGAGTTCAAATGCTATATTTCAACCAACCGTCTTGTTCCTGAGGCTAACCTAAGGAAGACCACCTCACTAACGAGGAACGATCCAGTGAGGTCACCTGCTGCTGGTATTCCAGAAGAAATTTCTGTTTATTATTACACAACAACATGGCAAACATGTCCCATTTAATAATTACGTCAGTTTTAAGATTTAGAAAGTAAGGAACTCAACAGAAAATTGATATGTAACCCAAATGCTCTATATGCCAGTTAACTTGGTTTTTAGCCTTCGTGACCTATTTCAAAAGAAGTGGCATTACTGGTACTTCCTGCAGCAATGTACGGCTGCTCAGTCAGCAGTCATTTACTACGGCCTGACAGTGCTACCTACTACAGACTAGGCTCCTGTGCATATATTTTCATTTAATAATAAAAACCACCCTGTGACACAAAATTTCCATTTTACAGTTGAGAAAAATTCAGCTAAAAATCTGCCAGGGAACATACAACTCAGAAGTGGCAGAGCCAGGACTGAAACCCAGACTTGGCTACCAAGAATACTTCCCCTCCCACTGGATAACCATAATGCATACATCCTCAGCCAGAAATATATTCCACATTTTATGCTTAAGAAAGCTAGCTAGCATTTCTGTCATGCTAAAAAT